TTTTAGGATTACTTCTCCAGATCTTCTTTTTGGGTTCTAGGGTTTATATCTGGGGATATTTTGCTAGTTTTCTTTGATGTTTTGATTGAGTATTCAACTCATGGTTTAAAGAGTATACATCAAAGGATTTTTTATTTTTCAACATAAGGATGGACTTCTCAAACTTCCTAGAGTTGGTAAGGTAAAAGAAAAGAAGGTACACCCTGTTTTTATTTGTCATCATTGTGGTATGCATGGTCATGTTCGCCCTTATTGTTATAAGTTGCATGGGAGAGTGTCTCAAAAGGGTAGGAATTCGAATACTTTTTGGATTAGGAGACAACCTTACATGTCTAGGCGGAATACCAAGATTCATGAGGGTGTTCACAATGCCACGACATTTACCAAGACCTCTACTCACAATTTTGTTCGGATCAAAAAGATTTGGGTGAGAAAACTTGACTTGTGTTAATTTGTTTATTTGTTTTAGCTTTTGGGTTTTTTTGTGTCTTGTTTTTAATGGAAAAAAATGTGTGCTTGTTCATTTTTTTGTCTTGCTTTATTTTTGAAAAAAAATAAAAATAAAAAAATAAAATCCCAAAAAGATTTTCTTAGTATGGTTTTGCAAGCTTGAAATTTTTTGAGTGGTCCTTGGTGCATATTAGAATTGATGAGAATTTCCATTACATTTTAAAATATGTGTGCTTTCTGTAGTCATTACTCATTTTGGAGCGTGTATTTTTTGATTAGTATGTCTCATTCTGTACACACTCTTGGAATAGCAAATTTTGGAGTCTTCCGCCTTAGTGATTATTTTTTTATGGACTTCTGTCATTGATCTTTTGCGTTTCTAGAGGATTTGACCTATACTAGCATATCATGGGTGATGTTGAGTCTCTTAACCACCTACCATCCTTTTGCATCTCCATGGCTTTCCCCTTAATTCTTTGTAGTCTAGCCATGAGGAAAAGGCTACCTCAGAGTCACCAACCAGGCCATCCTTATTATATCCATGCTTCTCTGGTTCGGTTTCCATACTCTTGAGCGTGTCAGCCACCAATGATTGTGCAAAAGAAAAAGTAAAAGAAAAAGAAACAAGAAAAAGAAAGAGAAGTAGACAAAATATGCAAAAGAAAGGAAAAAAAAAATGTGCAAAAGAAAGAAAGAAAAAAAAGGGAAAAGATTCATTGATTGAGAGGGAGCCTCCGCCTTTACTCACCAAATACCCCTTGATTCCTAGTGGTTTGACTTTCCTTTGTTGTGCTTAGATTCTCTTGTCGGAGGTCCAACTTTAATATCACTACTAGGATTGAATCTAGTGTTTGTCGAACTCCAAGAGTCACACACACACTTTTTATCATGGGATCTATGCTTTTCACATAATGTATCACTTTCTTGCATGAGGAATTTTCTACAGACTGTGCATATTGTGTTTTCTTGTAATTGTGCTTCTTGGATAATCTTATGTGTTTTAAGGTACTAATCTGAAATTCCTTGCTTGCTCCACCATATTATTTTTATCATTTTCTTCTTGTTCACTGTTTTAAGTGTTTGTGGTTGCTTTTAGTGAGGGGGAGTTTGGTTCATTTTGATATGTTTTGGTAAGGGAGATTGGCTATTTGTTTTGCATGTTGCTATGCCCTATTTGCCCTTCTTGCATACCCCTGATATTTACATCGTCATATCATTGCTTGGGGTGGTCTTTGATCTTGCTTTTGTTGTTTGAGAGTTGTTTTTCATGAGTCTTAGTCTTCATCTATTCATGCTTTCCATCTCATGTTTCAAGATAATTGTGTCATATGTCTATTGTTTTTTCATATACTCTTGTGGGACTAATAGTTGTTTTGGAGATTGTGGCACTAATAACTGTTTTGCAGATCATGACCTTGAGCAAGAAGTTGGCTTTTGTTGGCTGTAATGGGTTGGGGTGTTTAGGATTTTATTTGTTAGGTGTGTTTTGTCACGGCATTGCCAAAGGGGGAGATTGTTAGGTTTTATTCTTGGCAACCCCGTTTGACAAAACTCCTTTCAGTTGTATTTTTTTTGCACTTTTATTTCAGTGAGGCTATGAGTGTTTAGATGCGAATCCAACCCGAATTGTGCTTTTCAGAGAAGGTACTACCTATGTTGTCAAATCCGGAGACAAAACATTGTGTTGATTCAATTGTAATTTTTTGTGTTCTTGTTCTGTCCGCTCGAGCGGAGCCTTTTGCTCTCGAGCGTAGATTAGCAGGTCTCAGTATTTTGGCAGGGCAAGTAAAAAATACTGGTGGGTGTGATTTTACGCTCGAGCAGATTCTCCTACGCTCGAGCGCATCTCAGTTTGTTCGCACGCTGTTTTTGGTCAGTCCGCTCGAGCGGGCTGTGTTGAGCTCGAGTGGACCGCGCGATCCCAGATTTCCAGATTTGATTAAAAGAGTTGGTTTTCTTCTGAAATAAGGATTGCTTTGGTTCTCTATAAATACTTGGTTTTCTCCCAAAACTAAGGGATTGATGGTTCTCCAGACTTAATTTTTTGGCATCTTAAGGTTATATCTGGAGAGATTTTGCTAGTTTTCTTTGATGTTTTTTATTGAGTTTTCAACTCATGATTTAAGAGAGTACATCCGTTTGTTATACACAAAAGAGAGAGTTGTTCTTCGGTGGAGTCTGAAGAATTCGAGCCTGAAGCTTCGGTGGATCCTGGAGTGGCTCTTTGGAAAGACAATTCTGAGGTGAAGATGGGGTTGGAAGAGGCACATAGAGGTTGGTTCAATTAGGCGTTGTGGATTCGCTAGGTAATTGAGAGTATACCTGTGTAATTCCTTTAAATCTTCTTAGTGGATTGTTCTTGTGGCTGTTGCCCGTGGTTTTTTTATCACAGTTGGAGGTGTCCAACTGTGGTTTTTTTTCCACGTTAAAATCGTTGTGTCTCTTTGTCTTGATTGTTTGATTGGGATTGTTTTATTCTGCTTAAATTTGATACATAATCACAAATCAACATCTAGGGGATTTCTAGATTTTTTAGATAAGATACTCAGACCTTATTTATTAGAGCACTGATTGGATTCCATCAGTTGCTGTGGCCTGCGATGGCATATATTGATTGTAAGTGGTAGAACACAATAACAATAGTCAAATTAAAATGTCCACTCTTTGGAGTAACAATACAGAGCTTAAAAAATAAATTGGTAACCTCCAAATAATGCAGAGTAGAGCTTTTATGTAAAACAATTCAAATGACGTTGGTAGGCACGTAATTAGAAAGGAAAATCATGCTTTTTTACAAAGCAAACAAAACTGCCAATCAGCCAACAAATAAGGGAAATATCATGCAACATAACGAAAAGTGTAGTTTAAAAATAAATAAATAAATAAGGGTAATTTATGGTCATAATGAAGTAAACATAACAGCTTAGTGACAAATATGGAAACATTTCTAAGAGAATGGAAGTATTGTTGGTTGCTCAAAATATAAGGTAAACTTCTTTCTTCTTAGTTAAGGACAAAATATGAGGTAAACATATCACTCAAATTACTCAATTATAACAATGCCAAAAATTCGTATGGAAATATCGTTATTACTGTTTAGGATTTGAAAGAATTTTGTGTGATCTTGTACACCAATACAATTGTGGCCCCTTTACACAGCCTTAGGATTGCTAAATGACAGATCCAAAATCCATTTAGCAACAAATCTAACACCAAAATGGGAGCAACTATACTTGCATCCACTTACTACAACTCATACAACATTAATTCTCATTAGACATGTTGTCGTTCCACGTAACACCTATTCAAACGAGGGACACAGTGTAGTTCTTATCCATTCTTCAAGCCAAATAAGTAGGCACTTACAAACAGTTTCGTAGCCAATGTCATCTAAGAGATTCAGTTTTAACTGAATCGTTAAGCTCTCTCTCTTCTGGTAACCTAATTCAAAAGAAATTCTAATCACAGAATTGAATAAAGTTACATACACAAAATTTCCTAAAAATCCAGAATGTATTTCCTTATGATAAATAGTAACTGAGTACACAGTACAGCTCCCAACGTGACAGACTAATTTTCCAGTTGCAAATTATTCCTTTTTGTGCTCAAGACATATTTCATTATAGAGAAGCCTTCCATATCTCCTATACACAATCTTGTGGAAGTAAAAATCAAGGACCATGAAGAACTCCAACACAATTGTAACCATTTAAAAGATTACTTGTTCAGATAGACATGAACTGAAATTTAAAATAATGAGTCTGTTAATGCATATCAATATTAACCTTCTAGATTTATTATCGTTGCAGAAAAAAGGATACAATAGGGATGGCTTTATTCTATAATGATTTTGTCATTTCAATTTGCTTGTTTAGAAAGTACATATATCACAAACAGAGTTGTAATTGAGAGGATTGGAGTGTAGGATTAATAATTGGAATCACATCACAAGCTATCTTCGGAAAAGATTGATATCGATAAGTCAAAAAATAAAAATAAAATAAAAACTAGAATATTTACCTGTATGGCAAGTTCCCTAGTTGGGCAGATGACAATTACCTCTGTTCGGATTTGATGTAACTTCTCCACAGCAAGGTATCAGAAAAGAAAGGGTCTTTCCAAAACCTGTCCTTGCAGCTCCAAGAATATATTTGCCTTCCAAAAGTGGCGGAATAGATCTGGCTTGGATCTGCAATTGGAATCAGACAACACAGGTTATACCAACTTAATAGCATTAATAGAGTTGAAAACTGAAACAAATTGTTTGAGGCAAGATTACGCCGCAGCCATTTCAGCAACCTTTTTGACACTTGAGTTGTGTAGACTCTTCATCTCATCAGCACTCCCCTTAACTCCAGTCTCTATTTTCTTTCCATTTTCTGATGCTGTGGCACTTCCATCAATTTTAGAAATTGAACTGAAAAATAGTTGCACCTGTTTTAGCTTTCCATCATAAAAGGACTTCTATTCAGATAATTGCTTCGCTTTTCTTTGATTAAATAACAAAGCATAGTGGTTGGACAAAGACTCCAATTCCTGCAAATGATAGAAATTTAGAATCTTCAGCCAGAACTATCATTCCAGATGGCATTGAATTGAAAGACATTCAACCAAGAAGAAAAAGAAGGTGATCTCCAATTGTTCTGGACCTCCGTATATATAGAAGCATCTATCAAATGTCACTTCTTCAAACAATTGATCCTCATCATCTTGTGCTTGCGCTCCCTTCTTATGAACTTCAATACCAGTTTCTATAATCAGAAGATCCATGGTCTCCTTGCCTACAAGCTCAAGCACTTGCATTCCCTTTGCAGTAAAAGCTTTTCCACTCTATAAAACAATGGCACAGACATAAGTGATGCACTAATTAAATTTTCAGAAATAAGCAATCCTCTCTACCGGAGCATCAAGATACATGAAGCTTTCCTCTATAACTGAGGCACTATTTAAAATAACAAGCACATAATCAAAACAACAATATCATGTGTGTGTGCATGTATATGTATATCCATTTATGTACAAGTAAATTATATATCACAATCAAATTCTGCATGAGGAAAGCACGTGGGAAGAGATACACACCAGATTTCAACAGCAACACCATGTTAAGGGCACCCTTCTTCAACTGTCACCAGTCTACTTGTGTTCCGAACTGAAGCATTGATTGTGGCCCTATCTAGTGGCCTAATTGAGCGAAGATTTATAACCTGTTTAAACAGTAAACCAACACTACCATATTTAAAACTGATACTTGAATGATTTTAGGTCTTACACCAACAGTACCATATTCATTTAATGTATTTTATACCTCAGCACTGATCCCTTCCTTCGCAAGAATCTCAGCTGCCTGAACATCACAGAACACAGTTACACTTAAAAGGGGGGCACAAAATTTACTAACTATAACCAAAGGCAATATAAACGAGAATTTGAAAGATATGCAATGTCAACAAACAACAATGATCACTAATGTTCTCATCGAAGACCAACAGACAAAGATTTGACAAGACCAACACAGATAAAACTATTAGAAGACCAACAGACAAAGATAAATCTATTATGTCAGTATATTTTCATGCGCAAACACAGATAAAACTTAGACAACCAAAGCGGCAAATATTGACAGAATACCACTACCAGCACCAACATCCACAACCACAACACGACCAACAAAATCAGTGCAATTTATTCAATTTAAGTTCCACAAATTTCAAAGAAAAACAGATATTCAATTTATCATGTAACCTAGCAGGTATCAAATTTGAAAGAAAACCTTATGTGCTGAAGGACATACCTGGTAATATGATACTGATGTAGGAAAACTTAAGGACGCAGATTTTGGTGAAGATGCAACTGGAAACAGTCGCAACAAATCCTCAAAAAGTATCTTCTTGGAAATTGTAGTAAAGGGCACTTCGAAGGCCTGCTTGAAACTGCCAATGTGGAGTGATGATATAAGGCATTAATAACTAGAAACAAGTCACATGACTATTCAGTTAAGTTTTCTTAGAGTAAAAGAAAGAAAGAAAAAAATCCTAATTTTTTAAGAAAGAAGAGAGAACGAACTCTTCTAAATGTGTATCCATTTTGGACACTCAACACTTGGGTAAGGGTATGGGATATGTGTTCAGTTAAGAAACATGGACACTTCTGCAAAGGAAGCGTGTCATGTCCAACATTCGTGTCCGACACCGACACTCTTCAGACACTTCTTCAACGTGTCTTAATTAAAAAAACAAATCCATGATAGCGAACACTTCCCTAAAACTTCGTGGATACTTCAGCGACACTTTTTGAACCCTCCAAATACCTCCTATGTGATGAATTTTTTCAATAACAATGTCCTACATTCTTAAAAAAACACAACTTATGCATTCTAAATATGTTTGGAAATATTTATAAAATGAATACATCATGTGTATTACAATGTTCTATAATTTGTTTTGTATTCTTTAGAATATAATTATTACTGAATGATATATTGACTTTTAAGTTATGAACTATGTACTTTTTTAATGTGATTAGTGTCTTGTTATATATTTTTCAATAACAATGTCCTTTCCAACAAAGAAACTATCACGACCCCAACCCGCCCCCATAGGTCTAGGATCGTAGCCGGCCAGTAATTCGTGATTACCAAAGGCCTAACTGACAAAGCAAACAAAAGGGGGTTAGCGGAAGCTATTATGTAAAAACAAAGCATCCATTGAGCTGTGCATTCAGATGACATTGCTATTCATATATATATATATATATACACACATATATACACGCATAAGTACAACAACCATTACACGTTCGTCAGAAAAATATAAGGAAAATGGGAGAAAGATACTCCTATGACAAGAGTTATAATATTAAAAACCACATGACCAAAACACGCGAATGCATAAAATCTAGTAGTTTTTCATTTCAAGGAAACCTAAAATGACCATGTAACAAGAAATATGCTGTAAATCTTTTTCTTTTTCCTTCTTTTTTTTTTTTTTTTTGGCTCCCTACAAAGTGATGGATGTCTACATTAAAATGCAACATATATTCTCAATGAGACCATTCAAATTCCAGGAAATGCCGGACAGGTCCTAGTTGGGCTCAATGTTACAACATTCTAAGACATTATTGACAACAATTTCACTTCTGGATGAACTTAAAGAATTTAGATTTTGTTAAATTAGAAATATGCCAATTAATGGGTTAGCACCCAACTTAACTGCTAAAACAATCTATTTTTAAACTAAATAAGGGAGAACACGACAATCTTGAGTAATCAAACAAAAAAATTCGCCTTTAGATTGTAATTTTGCAAACTTCTCTTATTATGGTTTTCTACAAATAGGTCACGCATGTTGAACATACAAGTCAATCAGAATAAAAACTTGTCGTGCCTTTATTTCTCAACTGCAGAAAGTTATTCCTGGTGCAACTCGATCAAAAAAAATCAAACAATTTGAGCATGCATCACATGTGACATATAAATGCAAGTCTCTAATAGAGATTGAACTACAAATTACACATACCATATCCATTATAGTTATGGACAGAATTATTACAGCCAGTATGCAGCATATTTAAGATACTCAACAAGTAATTTAGGCAAGAATCCGAGTGTCCTTGCCATGTAATTCTCAACCAACAAATAGACTGGCTGCATAAATGTGTTCAGCTATACTAGTGGGTGTCCTTACCAACAAGTTTGATGTCAGTGTTCTCCAACAACCACTGTGTCCCATCTTTCGTGAATCCCACGTAGCTTGTGTCAAACTCCTTTTTCCACATAAGTCATCTGTAAGTAATACATAATTTAGCTCATTAGTGCAGCAAAACTTCTGCCCTTGAATTGGAGTATACAAAAAAGGTGACCAAACATTGAAGTAGTAACAAATAAGGTGGTCAACAATTCTGCAGAGCAGAAAGTACAGTACAAGAAACAACCATCTGTTTAACATCGGTTGTATTTTACGCAGACTTTCTTTTTTAACTTCTTTTGTTTTTTTTTTTTTGTCAGTTGTTAGTTGTTAAATTAGCACCCTGGGTGAGTTGAACCCCCAACCTCACCCTTGCAAGCACCTAAGAGTTGCACCCATGTCACTAGGCCACAAGGCCATCAGCGCTTGATTTTAACTATTAATACTGATGTATACCTTACTATTTAACCAGGATTCTAGGAATAAAAACATCACCCAATAGGCTGTGGCATACCTCATGAACCATATATTCCCTTTCGGATTCTTAAATTTGAGCCTAAAAAGGCTATCTCTACCAATATCTCCTATAATTTCATAGAGTTCAATAAGTTTTTCTGGGTGTCTACTACGTCCATATACACTTGAATTGGAGCAGACTAGCACTAGTAAGACTGTTGAAAGCCGCAACACATTTGTAGCCACACAGGCTCAGCTGAAACAAACTTTTAGAATGTCACTAGCATTAGGCTTTCAACCAAATATGGAACTTCAATAAAGACTATTGTCCATGCGACTCGCCCTATTTTTCTATATTAAATTCTTACATGAATTGTAATAAAGCATTCTCAGTTAACCTCATATAGTAAAAAATGATAACACGGACCAATTGAATTAACTTCCACAGCAACTTTTAGTGGTATTATATGTCCAACTGAAACAATTTCATTCCAAATCAACATAGTTGACAAGTAGTAAATACCCCAGAACTCAAGACTTCCTTGAAGAGCATAACCGAAACATGGTCCACACATACGATCATTTTGCAAAACTAAATGTCATGTATTTACCTGTCAGTGTTTAATGTTCTGAAAAGCACATGACGTACTCCCATGGGAATATGTAAGGATTTCATAACTTCAGCTGAGAGAGAGAGAGAGAGAGAGTCATAATTTAATCACCTAATTTTTTAGGCCAAGTTTGGCATGATTGAAAAAAGACAAAAAGTCAAAAAGTCGCTATCCTACTTAAGTCACATCATCTTATTTAAGTCACATCACCTCTCTAACACATCACTTCAAACCCAACCCAAACCCAATCCATATTTCATAAAAAGTCAAAAAGTGCACTTATTTAGTCTTCCCAAACTAGAAAAACATGGAGAACATTAAATACATAATAGCTACTCTATAAAGTAAACCTGGATAAGCACTTATCAGAATGCCCCTTATTGTTAAGTGAGTATTTATATGAGATGGTGAGTAAATTTACAATTATATATATAGGCATTATATCATTCAGCAAGCATTTGTTTAAATGAGGGACCTTCTATGTGAAACTTTTTGACTGTTAACTTTCACAATAAATTCCTATCAGTAAAGGGCTATGGCCAAAATCCCCTTTGTATTATTGTTGTCCAACATTATTGCTTTCAATCTCTTTGCTAAGAACCCCAAAATCTTACCAATTAATGTGTATTATTCAACTAATAGAGCAAGCAACAACGAGGTGGAAAAAAGGCATGTTTCCAATCATATGCAAAGAAAAATACTGCAAATGGCTACCAGTTATGCTCTTGTCTCTTAGAAAATCAACAAATTATAGAGAAGGAAACAAGGAAAGTAAAAAAGAAAAAAGAAAAATTGTTTTCTATCAAATGTAAAGCAATGTACTGTAAATGGATACTAGTTATATTCTCATCCCTTGGAACATCAACTAACAAAGCTAGACCTATTAAAGCAAACAAATTTAAACATCAAATAACAAATAAATAAGCATACATGTAAGTACTATACTGCAAGAAGAGGAAGAAATATTAGAATAAAAAGTTTGTAAGAACAATTATCTTTTCATGATATTCTTTAACTTCAATTAAAGACCTCCAGAGCTTTCAAAGGGTTGCCAATTATTTACTCTTCCCAGTGGACCTCATAACATAATGTCAAGTGGTGTTACTTGTTAACTGAGTGCAACATAAAGTCACCAACCACAAAGAGATCAAAAATAGGAAAGTTGAGGAAAAGGTAGGACTCAAAATAAAGCTTTAAGTTTTCCCCATAAAAAAAGAAATAGATAAGACACTACTTAACAATTTTTCTGAAAGATTAAAAAGCACCTCTCTGGAAACAACCAACCCTAAGACTCAGTTGTCAGGATCTTATTTAAACACTGCACCCAAAATAGTAAAATCATCCAAAGTATAAAATAATAGGAATGGATTAATTAAAAAATAATAATTTTCTTCACTTTCCTTACCAAACCAAAGCACAATCCTATGCGCATTAATGGATTTCAACCTAACCAAAAAATAAAAAATAAAAAAAATTATATCAATCTTTACCTCCCAATGGCACAATTTTCTCAATAAGAAAAGTAATTCCAAAAAATCTCCAACCCATCCTAGTGATTATAATTTACAAGAAAAGCATTCAAAATTTTAGTTCCACTAGTGCTTTTTCCCATGTAATTGCACCTTCAAGGGTCATTCCCATACCCTTAAGGTGAGCATAAAAACTTCCATTGCCACCCCTCCACTAGCATTTTCCATGAAGTCTTACACATTTTTCATACTTTAGTTTCTAGACCCACCTCTCAAATTTCAAGATTTGTTGAAAAAATCAAGTGTTCCAGAAAATGATGAACTTTAGTAAGAGCATATTTAGTAGACTCGTATTAGTTGCGGAATTACTAAAAAACAGGCCAAGTTGATTTGATGTTCAAAATATACAATGGCCATCTAAGAGTAGTTACTTACTAACATATCCACAGGACCCTGACCATCAAAGTCATAAGACTTCTTAAAAACATAAATTCAAAAAACAAATTGCTTTACAAAATTTACATAATAAATTAATCAAGCTAATAAAATAATTGGCCAAACAATGACAAAAGAGCACTATTGACCAATTTAATACCATTGAGTACTTCACTGTCAAGAATATCCTATCAAACAAATGTCCCAGTGCATCAACACGAATACCATACAAATAGGTCATTTCATGATAGATAAGTTACTATATGAACCATTCTT